TGGATCTCGACGGATACCTGGAAGCTGATAGAGGAGAGGAGGATGGTGAAGCAGAAGATAAACCAGTGCAAGGATGCTCAACGACAAGAGGAACTGAGCACAATGTATAAAACACTGGATAAAGAAGTGAAGAAGAGTGCACGCAAAGACAAACGACACTTCTACGACACACTGGCAAGTGAAGCAGAACAGGCTGCAGGTAAGAGAGACCTGACGACATTGTATCAAATAACCAGGTTGCTATCAGGGAAGAGACCAACACAGATGAAACCAATAAAAGATGAAGAAGGAAATTTAATTACAAAAGAAGAGAAACAGAGGAAACGATGGGCCGACCACTTCAAGAAGCTCTTGAATCGACCACCACCTGCACTTCGTCCAGAAATACCACCTGCAGCCGCTGAATTACAAGTGAACATAAATCCCCCAACGAAAATGGAAGTCCTGAACGCCATAAAGCTACTGAAATGCGGGAAAGCAGCAGGACCAGATGGAATACCGCCAGAAGCACTGAGAACAGATGCAGAGACAACAGCGGACATGCTCACACCACTATTGCAGAAGGTGTGGAGGGAAGAGAAGGTACCTGACGATTGGAAGAAGGGTTACCTTGTCAAACTGCCGAAGAAGGGAGACCTCAGTGCTTGCAAGAACTGGCGAGGAATCACTCTCCTGTCCACCCACAAGTAAAATATTAAGCCGCATCATCCTGGAGAGGCTTAAAGACGCACTGGATTCAAAACTGCGACCGGAACAGGCAGGCTTCAGGAAGTACAAATCATGTGCTGACCAAATTGCAACGCTTCGTATCATCATAGAACAGAGCGTAGAATGGCAATCAGCTCTATACCTCAACTTCATCGACTTTGAGAAGGCCTTTGACAGCGTCGACCGAGAAGTAATTTGGAAACTGCTTCAATACTACGGAGTACCGCAAACCTTTATCCGCCTCATTCAACAACTATATGAAGATGCCACATGCCAAGTAATCCACAATGGGAAGCTCAGTGATGCCTTTGAAGTGAAGACAGGAGTGAAACAAGGTTGCCTACTATCCCCCATGATATTCCTAATTGTGGTGGACTGGATCATGCAGCAAACAGTAGGCAGCGAGAAGAGGGGGATACACTGGACGACGGAAAAGAACCTAGAAGACTTGGATTTCGCCGATGACTTATGCCTAATGTCACATAAACTTGAAGATCTGCAGGCAAAAACTAACAAGTTGACAGAGGAGGCAGCTAAGACGGGACTTCAGGTGAATATAGAGAAGACAGAAGTGATGAAGATACCGCACCACCACCATCAACAACAACAACAAACTCCAATCACCGTCAACGGTAGAAACTTGAAGGAAGTAACCTCCTTCACTTATCTAGGAAGCACTGTTTCAACTACAGGCGGGACGGACGAGGACGTCAAAGTCAGAATCGGAAAAGCAAGACAGGCATTCATTAGCCTGAAACCAGTGTGGAGATCTTCTGCACTCAGCATGCGGAACAAGATACGGATTTTCAACACCAACGTCAAGTCAGTGCTCTTGTATGGCTCAGAGACTTGGCGCGTCACGAAAGGCATTTCCAATAAACTACAGACATTCATCAACAACTGCTTACGCTCGCTGCTGAAGATCAGATGGCCAGAAAAAATAAGCAACAAGGAACTCTGGGAACGAACCAACCAAGAACCTATCACGCAACAAATATGCAGGAAGAAGTGGAGATGGATTGGGCATGCACTGAGAAGGCCGACTGAGGACATCACGCGTCAGGCCCTCGAGTGGAATCCCCATGGGAAGCGACGAGTTGGACGTCCGAGGGTGACATGGAGGAGGTCGTGCGAGGAGGAAATGAGAGCTTCTGGGCTGTCGTGGAACCAGGTTCAAAAGATCTCAGAGAACAGAGGTCACTGGAGGCGTGCTACTGAAGCCCTATGTTCCACTAGGAACCCAAGGGACTAATAATAATAATAATAATAATGAAGGTAAGCGATGGCTGAATAGATTCCGTATGCTCTCGGGAGCGTGCAGGTAGCTTATACTCGTCGGCAACCTACAGAATGGAAGTCGCCTATGTAAAGTAACTGAAATAAAAAAAAAGGACTAGCGCTATATGTACATGGCTACAGGACCTATGATATATCACCTTGAAGCCAGTCAGGATGAGATATAAATGAAATAAAAGTCATCTTGAAATCTCTGTTCAACTAAGGCTTTACATATATACAATTTCAATATCAAATATCACTTCAAGCCTTTCACAGTCAATTAAAACATCAAGCACAAGTGGAAAAAAGAATAAAATATTCTAGGTGAATTATTTGATTTTATTTTCAACAGTTTTATATCTCACACAAAAAATTTACAAATGGTTTAGTGAGAAACAGTCAGTTAGAAATGGGAAAAATGTACAAAATACTTTACTTACAAAAAAAGGCATAACACTGCATTGATTCTACAGAGTGAATATGATGTACTTTTAGCAGTCTCTTCTTGTGACTACACCTAACAAACGTCATTGTAATAGCTAACTGCTTACAAAATTAGATCACCTCTTAATTGGTCCTCTGAATTCACATCGTGTCAAGTCAGCACAAGAAACCGCAGATTTCCATGACTGAACAAAAATGTTAGGTAGCCGGATGGAACGATATACATAGCTAGCATGAATAAAAGTGAACGGTATTCCTATGGACTTGGAGATCGTGGATAAAGTAGTATAACCTACTCCTGACCTTTGATATCCCGATGTACCAACGACACGCATTAGTCAACAGCTTCATATATGACTTGTAATATTCAAGCTTTTTGTGGAGAAAGGTCTGATAATAGCCTAAAAGTGACCTGTGTGCGTAGAAATACCAAAACAATGACCGCTTATTTAAGGAATAATATGGAGTCCATTCAAATAAGGATAACAGACATTAAAATAAAAACCGTCCTTTATAAATGTGCACCATAAGCATCAGTTCTAAGGGGAAACCCCTCGATTTGTCAAACAAACTTCATTAGGTTGCGTTTAATACCAAGCGTATTTACTGTTCTCATTTTAAACATATTATATGAATGATGAAGCGTTTTTTGATATGTTGTTGTAACCAAGACTTCAAAGTTTCAGTGTCTCGTTGCAGTAAAAATGCAAAAATGTTGTGTTGGTCGGCTCATAACACGAACAAATATAAACAGAGTAGAGTATATTTAATTGTAACTACAGCTCCACTGCTAAGCTTTCAAATAAACTTCTTATTTACTAAGCACTAAGATATCTAACTAGTCAGCAAAAGATTACCCCTTGAATATAAACCAACTGATAATACGTGTATGCATCTATCGTGTAGCATTTATATATGGCTATGCATATATTACCCCAAAGTTACATGTGCATATGTCCGAAGAACAACACAAGTGTTTCCGCTTAAATAATGAGAAAAAACACAAAATAATCCGCTCAAATCATTTAAGAGTTAGAGGGATACATAAAGATATACAGAGAGGGCATATATATAAAGTGTATGAGCGGTTTCATCATAAATATTGACAAATAGATTAGCTTATACAACTATCAAGATGTTCATAAAAGATGCCATTTTATTACATTTTCTTAATTCAATGTCTTTAAACACATACGAAAGTTTATACCCTAAATCTGTATGTAAATGAGGTTAAACGTGAATTTAATTTAATGACGCAAGTTCCATTTTCTTCGTGGTTCAATGACAAAAAAGAGGAAAGTAATGAAACAAAAAATAGTGAAAATGATCGTAACATAGTAATAAATATGAGTAATGATCTAAGGTGAGACTACATCTGAGTAATATATATATATATATATATATATATATATATATATATATATATATATATATGAAGAAATTTAGTAGGCAAAATAATTAAATATGCATTAAAGATTAGATTACAACAACTAAAGATGAATAGAAATCAAGATTACTTACAGAAACACGTTGCATCAAACAGAAAGAGGAGTGTGTGAGTGAATGAAGACTAAACTGTTTATCAACCAGACGACACTAGGCGGGATATAAAGTGTTAACCAAATCACAGTTCGTTTTCACCTCAATCGCTAACTTTGCTTACATAATGATATATGTCTGTAGACGTAACCTAAAGCGTTCTGTGGAAATAAACACTGACATCATACATAAATGCAGTGATAATGATGATGATTAAAGAAGACAGCGTGTTCAGAGTTGATGAGAAAAGAAAAGCTTTCATCGTTAAAGACGTCGATTTACTACTTGCAATAAAACCGAAAAATAATGATGAATAACTTCAAGGACACGTGAAACAACACATTTAAGTACCATTTACACATACAACAATAATGAACGTTTAGCTATTTCATTTTATTCAAAAAAGCATAAAAATGTAAAACCTGTGCATAACCATATAACTAATACGGGGAATATTACTACTACGATAGATAATCAGGCATGAAATGTGCTAGTTTAATTAGCAGTTAGCACTTGGCAGGTCAAAAGCTGACAAATTCAAAAACAAGATATTCAGCGAAGACGACTCTTTTCAAGAAATTTATTCTCAAGCTGTACATTCGTATATATATATATATATATATATATATATATACGAATGTACAGCTTGAGAATAAATTCCTTGAAAAGAGTCCTCTTCACTGAATATCTTGTTTTTGATGTCACAATGGGAAATATGAAAATATTCAATTAGCAGATTAATTACATGAAAGACAGTGTAACACGAGAGAGTGAGAGTTGCCTTGACAAATCAACTAAGACAGTAAACAGTAATAAATACCCTTTCAAAAGCATGCAAGATAAAATGTTTCACATATGCACGTTGATAAGAAAGAAAACAAACGAATGAAATCATAAAAACACGCACACGGTGATCAGGTAGGCGATGGGTTATTATTTTAAAGCATCTGAAGAAAAAGAAAAACATCTCAAAATCTGAACTATATATATATATATATATATATATATATATATATATATATATATATATACTTATGAATTAATTTATGTACTTATACAAGAAAAATTCTCAACGACAATAGTACTTCATAGACTAGGGAGAAAAGAATTACAATTTATGTATAGATATACAATTCAATACTACAAACGCACATTTACGTGTATTTGTTAAATTGATCACAGATAGAATAAATAATAAACTAATTAACTTTGATAGTGATTCCAAGACAAATAGAAGAACATTTAAAAAACCGGAAACTTGAAGAAGAGAATGCTTAAAATACATGCATGAGTGCTAAATGATTTAACATTGAGAGGTGGATGGGTCATGTTGTCTGTTGTTATTATTATTACTATGAACAGACGTAGACTGCAAAGTAGGTAGTGTCCGGTCAACTGATGCAAGTATCTCCAATGCCATTTTACGAATAAGTCTAGCACAAGCAAGCTGAGATTCATCAGGTCCTACAAATGCGACAACGCCTGCAGCACTCTGTCCTACAGGTTCAACATGCCCTACAGTTGAAGAGCGTTTAGAAGACTGAGGTGGCTGGTTATCAGTCATAAAACAATCACCTGAACCTCCAGATAAAGCAGATGATTCAGAAAAGTGATCAGGAAACAACACTGAACGAGAATGTTCACTGTTAGATTGGTCGTAAACAGCATCATAGGAAATGGGTGATGATCTTATTTGATTGCAGCTTTCCACAGAATTAGTAGCATCAGGAAAGTGTCTTTCGATATTTTGAAACTCTTGATCTGATAATTGTCTTTGCAAACTATGAGCACATAAGACTGCTTCATCAAAGGAAACAACTAAACGCAGAAACGACAAGAGTGGTTGGCATTCACATAATACAGGTACATAACGCATCTCTGAAAAAAAGACAAGAAAAACACTACCGTATTACACTATGATGAAAGAAAAGTAGAGACAATACTACATACACAAAAAGCATTCAACCTTCAATGACCAGTGAATGAGAACAGTAAGATAAATGAGAACGCGACTCTATGAAAGGAAAACAATGACTAAAAAATTCAGTCATACACCTTTCAAGGAATAAAAAACAGGACTGTGTATTACCAACAAAAAAACAGGCAATCTTTATGTGTAGTTTATTCTCGGTAGGTTAACGCATAAGTTTTGATCACTACGATCTAAGCATACAGTTCTACACAAAACAGGGAAACAACTTTTTATACCATTTCAATTAACTTACTAAACGCTGATGCATGAGTCATCAAGTTATCAGTTTTACGTTCAAGAACGGTATCTACAATACAACAGTCAACTCCTACAAGATACAGAAAGTATTGGAACTGGAACTTATTAAGAAACTGAACAACCGGATCAAACGTCACTTACCATGTTTAGTTAGCTTCAGTATTATGAAACGGACGAATAACTCAGGGATACAGTGAAACCAATGTTTGGTGGTTAGAGATAAGCACCAAATTTAGTACTTCCTGTCACTGATCAGAAGATTGCATCTTAAACATGAAGGAAAGAAATGTGCCCCACTCCCATAGGTTCAAATCCACGTCCCTCAATGCTGCAATCAGAGACCTTACTTCTGAGCAATTCAGGCAGTAATTGACTACTAGTAGGACTGAATTAGATTACACTGATTGCTCACTAGCTTCAGATTATCTAGTCCTAAGTGCTGACAGAATTCCATCGGTAATTTGTAATGCAGTCACAAAGGTAAGAGACGCCAAATCACTAATCAACTCGCTAGTTGCCGGGAGGCAATCAGTAGAAAGCATTGCTCAACCTAGGTTTCGTAACTGTTGGCACTTGTCAGCAAGGCATATCTGTAACCTCTACGGAACTGATGTCCTGAGGTCCAAACCTGCACCACCTAGAGTGACGTTACCATTGAGCTATTCGGGTCACTTTGACCTCCTGCTAGACTGGCTTATATACACTGGTTGGATACATGAGAGCGACCAATTTCATGTTCTCTAGTCCTGAGTGCAGACCAAATTTTATTGATCACATTCGGTCTGAACTCAGAACTAGACAATATGAGACTTATTACTCTTCAGTGAACAGTCAATATATGCAATCCAGTCCCACAGGAGGTCATTCGTTGCCCGAATAGCTCAGTGATAACGCCCCTGACTATAACACTGGGTGGCGCGGGTTCGAATCTCAGGCAGGAGATCAATTCCGTCGAGGTTGCTGACGAGTACCAACAAGCAAGAAACCTAGGTCGAGTAGGGCTCTCTGCCCACTGTCTCCAACCAATAAACACTTACCAATGTGCACTGCGATGCTAAGCCTCCTAGCTTGGTGGCCACATTGCAAATATGATCGATAGAATTCGGTCTGCACTCAGAACTAGACAACATGAAATTGGTTGCTCTCCCGTGACTAATCAATGTAATCAATTCCCCTTGCTAGATAGTTTTATAAATAAAGTCCAACTTACTGGTAGCATAAAATTGGCAACTATAATTTCAGTGCGAATAGATTATATGGTACTGAGGCAATCAAATTAATTTACTAACATCTCTTTCCAACTTGCCCATTACATCATCATGTTCAATTCTGTTTTATGCACGTAATCGGCAAAATAACCTACCTTTCCTTGTCAATATATGATGTATAGCCCAAACAGCCCATAGATGTATTTCTAGGCGACTTTCTGGATGTAAAACTAGCAAACCAAAAGGCTCGAATGAACGATAAGCAACCATTTCAGACTGTGGTGGTTGCCAATTGCAGACAGCTTGACCCTAAAAAAAAAACAGTAAATGTAATCAATATGTTCTAGACATCTCGGTTATTGTAGTCTGACAAACTCATTGGCTAACATTTTCACAGAAGTCCAACTCTCAACATTCTCCTACAGTTCTCCAATGCAAGGAGTAGTGTTGTGACGACGAATATGATTGAATATCTGTTCCGTTCATCTTCATTGCTTATTACCCACAGCAGCACAGTTGAACATAGCTTCTATCTGGTACACTCATTCTCTAATAGATCATCAGATATACCACTAGTGACAAACAAAGAGTATGTTGAAAATCCATCGTATCCGTCGTACAATCTCTTAGGCGAAACGTTCATTCGGTTTGATGCGGTTCCTATTTAATCATTCCGATCACTGTCTCTAAGCTAGGCTTAGGACAACTATCTGCGGCATCGCCTTACACATGACGGATACGAAATGCAAGCTAAGTATACTTCTCAACATTTTGGTCTAGGAGGATTTTGTCATTTTCAGATAGAGCATAGGTATTTTTTAGGGAAACGGTTCCCGTACTTATTTAGGTGCAGACAGGCATTCACTTTAACTTATTTATGATCAGAACCTGAACAGGTATCCGAAAATAGCAGCAACTCTTAAGCGATCCTCTCAAAAGACGGTTTATAGGCATACGATCTATGTATCCCCAATTACTATGGTGCGAGTGAGTGCTGAGTTAAACACTCACACACACCCTTGTGTTTGACGTTAGAAACGTGTGATTATCGGGAGTAAAATGTAGCAGGGAGTCACTGTAATCAGCATGAGTTTCCTTGTGATGCTTTCCTGACTGGCTGAGCCTGCAATCTGCCGGTATCCAACAGTTTCTGACAAAAGTCACTTTTCATATAATCTAAAATTGTCGTTAATGTGTGTAGACGAGGACTACGTAAAGATATTATCGTTTGCATGTTACTTTCAAGTTTACTACGGAAGTTTAGGCAGCTAACCGATACACTTGCCCTGGTACGATAGATGTGACCTGTATTTCCAATGCAAATGTTTCGCATGGTCATTAAGTGTTAATGTGTACTTCAGTGGTTATTCATTTATGCGTAAATTATTGCTGGTGTTTTCTCGCTTTGGAAATTTGAGTCAACTAGAGAACTGATGTACAGTCGCACCCATTCATAAAATGAGACAACTGAACAATTCACGCAAATATAAAAAGAAAATCTAATGGTACGTTGTCGATTCCAAATACTACAATCGACCAACTGCCAATGACTCAAATCCAACCATGCTATATCCAATGAATTTCATTTGGAAAATTACAAGCGATAACATCAAAACTATACGCATCACACAAGGCGGAGCTGTCATGACTCAGTGGCCTCTGGTGTTTGAAGCGATCGAACCTGGATTTGACTTTTAGTCGAAACAATACTCACTGCGATGCAAGTATATCCCACTGGGGAAGAAACGTGCACCCTTGGTTTCACTGCCAGCGACTATCCACCATTACTACAAAACCGAAAGTACAGACAATATTTGGGCACCCTCACAGAACGCCGTATGCTAATAGATAAACGATCGATTCAATCCAATTAACGATGGGAAATTACAAGCGATAACATCATATTTAGTTCTTTATTGGAACTATACATATAAAGGGAGTCTTACCAATAGCTTCACATAACTATCTTTGCTTGACTGAATATTACGCAGCCAAATATCATCTTTCAAACAGGATAAATGAGCAATAATACCGGCAGCAAAATAGCTGATCTGAATACAAGGATGCCTGAGCATTTTGCTGCAAAGAAAAATACACGACGATATTCTCAATACTAAAAACAAGCGCATATTACTCATCCATTTTAAAACCAGTCAATACATTAAGGATAGTCAGAGTAATTACATCGATAAACAATTGAACAAAAAATAAATCGTATTCACCCACATAACAGTCTTCCACCTTTAATCTTAAGAGCATTCTGTATTGAGAGAACAATTAGGGCGAACCAGTCAGTTATTGCTGTCGATAGACAGTCATCACACACACCTAATCTGCTTTATACCTTTTATAAATATGGTATCAGACTGGGTGATGCCATGATAATGTCTATGACTAAGAAGACGAACGGACTGATAAGTGCACCCATAACTGATGAATCAACTGTCTCACATAGTCTAACACTAACGGTAGTACCACGTCACGGTTTATTACCTATATATATCGAAAAATTCAACCGAATTCCCTCAAGACTAAGACAGGAAAACAATTGTTACCGTACAGTTAACACTTTATATCCATCACTCAATCTTGATATTATGCAGATGATGACAACGCATAACTTACATTTTCATATTCAACGGTTAAATTACAAGGAATATTAGGCAGAAAAAAGTAAACTGAAGTCAACACAATAGTCAATCACATGGACAGGAAGAGTAGTGTTATACTGCTCACAACGCTGCAAAGGACAAATAAAGTCAGAATAAGTGAATAGTTTTTGCATTATTTTAACAAAGACTGTTCAGGATAACAGGATCCCTTTCACCTCAAACAATATCCTTATATGTGGTAAGGTTTAGCACTTCAAAGTACATGAAGCTTTTAAATGTCACACCATAAGATATAGGTATCCACTGCACTATCATAATCTAGTTAATGAGACTAGTCCAGGATGGGAAATATTTACAAACAGAAATGAAATGGTAGTACTAAGAGCCACAGTAGAAACCGTTGTCAACAACTGTTATTTGCGAAACAATATGAATGAATGACTGATAAAATTAATGTAGAACATCCCACGCAAGTGCATCGGCTCAAGTTGCCACACTTCACAGTAATACACAAACAACAGGTCAATACGAAAAGACTGATGTTAAAGTAGACAAAGTTGTCTGAGAGAATAAACAATTTGAAGACAACGGTTACTGTGAATATTCCAGCTTCAGAAGACGTCAAGCAGTGGATACATCTGGCCCCATTGTGACCGATTTTCAACTATGTCACTAAGAGTAAGCCCTCAATCACTGATTATGTTTGTCACGAAGACCACAACCAGGCAGTCTACATCGCCCCACACAACTCAGACCAACAGTAAGACCTTTCATCGACTGGTGCCACGTCTTTGTCTGGTCACCCTGAACCCTCTTCCAACTTGATCCAACTTCCGGCAACATGCATAGCACGTCTAGGTAGGCGCTGGTTCATGATGCCCAGTACATGTTCAAGCCATTTCAGTCGACCGAGGTTCACAACCTCATCAATCCACTTACATGTCGCGGCTAGTACCCTTCGCCTGACAGTAAGAAAAGTCTAGAGATTAGATAAAAAACGTAAATAAACAATGAAATGAATGTTGGTCTATTCCACACAAAAAAATCCCAAATGATGATTGAATGCAATACAAAACTGCAAGCTCGGAAATAATAAATAACATGCAAACTTGCATACTTATCTCAGCTTTTCAGGGCTATAAATATTACCAATAGAATTTTATCTGGACCACTTGAACCATTGACCTTTTAGAAACTTCTCTACACATAGTATGTTTTAAGTTCATAATCACATGCTTTCAGGTGTCGCACAGTAGGCGTGTCTCATATCCAGAACGTTGGTCGATATATTTTGAATGATCTATTGGTAAAAACAATAACTAGTTCGTGCAAGTCAGTTCAATAGTGCGACACTAACTAGATTATGAAAACGAAATAAGTAACTGCGAACGTAAACTACCTTACATTCAAAACCGTGAACCACAACAGTGTACAACGATAATCCAAGTACAAAAAAATTTCCGTTTGTCTAATTGAATATGGTAATGCATGTTAGTGAAGCAAACGTCTGCAAAATAAAACATCCTAACTACTGGTTAAAACGCCTAAATTACACGGTGAAACGTATCTAGCATGTGGTATTCTAGTGTCTTCCCACCAAATCCAAAAATCTCACTCAGATAATCTTTTCAGATATGCTGATGAATATTCAATTTGGAATCTTTTTATCAAATGTCCAGTACAGCTATAGCTCATTGGTTTCAGGAGATGACTTTCAACCAACGGGTCATGGATTCGAATCCAACTCCACTTACTGAAGTTTCGGCAGCCAGGTAACATCACTAGTCCTCCCACAATAGGTGTGGCTCATTGCCTACTGCATGAATATGCACAACGTTATGGAGTACATTTTTTCATCACCAAAACATTCATATTGTTGTTACTATAGCAGTGGTTTACTTCGTTGCAAAGAGATATAGACAGATACACAGATATAATCAGCAAAAAACCTGACGTAACTCTGTGTCAGTAAAGATCGATAGACTTCCTATCGGTAAAAAAAAAGTGGAAAGGCAACAACTGGCAAGAAAGTGGAGTGAAATTAACAACATCAGTGGTGGTAGTGAGCTAAAAGATGAATAAAAAAGGAGTAGAGAATAAATTAACCAAGCACACAGTATCTAGTTATTAATCTTCACAAAATTCAACCGGTCCAGTTAAAACTACCAATAATAACCTAAGTCCATAAACACAATTCCTGTCTCTATTTGATTTTACACGGTTCAGTTTGATCGACAGAAAGTAAATACACCTAGGTCACGATTTGTAAGTAACGTATATTTGTACAATTATGCAAAAACAAGCTCTTTGTGAATAATCAGACCTAAACTGTTCTCATAAATACGAAGAGACTTCCCGGCCATAAGCAATGTGGTTTCTCAAAGTAAGTCCTAACTTGAGAGCAGTCTTGATCGAATACTACTGTCAATGTCAAATAAAAGCGATTAGCATAAAAGCCACCTGTAGTTCGCCATTAGATCTATTTATGGAAAAACGAGCAATAGTTTGAAGTAACAATTATAACTGTAGTGAGAAGCATTGTTAGATCATGCAAACAAACAGCTACTGATATACCATCTATAATTTTATTCAGCTGCAAAAGCTTCATCACATACTAGGTGAAGGTAGTTAGAAAAACCTAGGCGAAACACCCATACCCGAAATGTAATAGTCAGTCGATTTCGTTATACTGCCACAGTGTTACATGAAAAAGAAAAGATAAAATACCAATCATATTGTAAGCTTACAAAAAGAAGTCCATTAGACTTTCTTTCAGTAACGTTTCGCGCGTCTGCTCAACTTCGGCAACATTATTCTACAAAGAAAATAACACGTTATAAGAAGTACAAAATGATTTGCCAGGAGCTAATCAATGTTAGTTATAACTAGTTATGTATAACAAGTGAGTTACATAACATGAAGGTACTTGGATCAATACACATTTGCAAATTTCACTTTAGTCTCCTTTTTTTCCAAATGGCTTGCATCTCTTTGATGATGACGATAATAATCGCTTTATTCTAAGTAATATGTGATACATTATGGAATTTCTAGCACGTAATATTACAACAAATACGCTCCCTTTAAAATATTTTTAAAAGAATTAATTATTGCATCTGAATAGTGTTAATAATAACGGCATTACAGGCACTAATGTGAGACGGATAGCTGGTGCTACATTAGCGTTTGGTCTGAACTTGGATATGATACAAAATAGAGTGTAATTGTAACAGTGGTAGTTCAGTCACCCAGTATAAAAATCTGCAATTCGATACAGGTATCCTGGGAATACTTATGTGTTATATTTTTGAGCATTTATTTGTCCATTTCCATGCGACGCGACGTTTTGTTTTGTTTTGTTCTCAGCTTGAGAAACGACTGTTTGAAAACTTCTCAAAAAAAGTGCTACAGTACATGATACACTTGGAAGACATATTCATACGATTAAAACAAACAGAGGGGAGAATTTGATGAAATATATATAGTTGGTGGAAAAAACTGTTGGTAGCACAAGGTTTAAGCAGGCGGCCGGAAGTGTTTTTAACAAGCGGTATAATCAAACAACTGCAAGTTTCACTTATCACACCTAAAAACACCTTTACAACTTTCGAACGAACCTACTTAAATGTTCGCCATTCTATTCGAAAGCTTTGGTTTTGACCCGAGAAGATACAAGTACATCCAACAATTGACGATGATAATATAGGTAGCCACCTTTAAATGTACCAGAATTACTGTACTCCTCTTACACTGGAATTCAAAATCAAGTCAACCTATGCGTACGACTGAAAGAATGTTCTTTTGTCGGTTAGCATTTTCATCATATGCTTTGAAGCTGTGATTTCACCTAACTAATTCACTGCATAACATCTAATAAGTATCTCCGTTGAGAATTTCGTCAGCAACATCACAGATACTCTCTTAGAGGAATTGTTAACATGCATATGGTTACCCATTTACTACTATTAGCTGGTGAAAAAAACGATTACATTTGATATAACCGGTCTCCAAAATAGCGTATCAATTAACATAGTCCTACAGGCAGTCAGGAATGAGCTCAACTCTCACAAGGAACTAACACACCCAGAACCAAAGTACCAATCGGATAAATCATGCATGCATGGAATTATGTCTAACTTTAACAGTCTTTAAACTTCAAGGAGAAATATAGGGACAAACAAAAAGAGATCCTATGGGATCACAAATATTCTGAGTCGTGACAGATGTATTTATGGATAGCTATGAACAAACAGGTAATAAATCTAGAGAAGAGCTCAGTGAAAGCAATGCATGGAATCATATACAAGCACATAACACAATACGAGAAAAATGATAGTCGTAAAAATTAACAGGGTGGAGAGAAAGAGAGAGTGAGTGATAACTGAGGTTCTGTTTAACGAGACGTCAAGCAAATGCAACAGAAATGACTCAACACCTATTCCAGATATCTAGCAAACTGTATTACGCATATCACACAAAAGGAATAGAGAGTTAGAGCTATAAAAACAGGATGTGAAAATATGAAGTTATCTTCAGGATGAACATGAAGAGTGAGTTGTGTTCAAAATATTATTCAGTAAATAATACCGCTTCACTGTTTAAAAAAATACCCAGCAAACAGATTAACTACCATAGTGCTCAATTCCCATTCTTACATTCTTTTATTTCGTCTCAAATCTTGTTTACTATTTCCATGCCGTCACTATTTTATCTCACAAAACTATGAGAGCCGTCTGCAGTATCTGTGGATCGTACTTTATTTTTTGTTTGATCATCACTCAGATCTCTCATGACTTTCATAAACTTTTACCGACAGATTAATTCACTGTATGTTCTAGTCGAAAGATTTCAATAGTATGATGCGTCTATGCGAATACTTGTGAAAATATCGTCTTGATACACTGTTAACCTTAGGTGCTTATGCAGATAACTGATCGGTGAGTACAAATATCGTATACTGGTCACTAGAGGGTAATCAACTTCATACTGTCTAGTCCTTATGTGCTGACCGTCCAACTAACATCTCTCGGTGCATCGCGATTGAAAGTTAACTAATTTGGTGACTACATTGCAAAACGATCGACGGAATTCGACCAACACATAGGACTAGACAACATGAGATTGGGTACCCTCCAGTGTCCAATCATCAATGTATGTAATCCAGTCTTATAGGTCAATTGTGAAACGAATAGCTCCGTGGTAACGTCTCTTACTGAAGCACTGGGTGACATGGGTTCGAGTGCCAAAAAGCACGACATCTAGGTCCAGGACTTCCCAATGATTGCCTCCATCCAACTAATAAGTACAGGGTGCTCATCACTATCTTTCCTGCCCTCCATTACTATCTGTAATAGTTTTCAGAAACTAAATGGTTTTACTGAAAATTACAAAACTGCTGATCTTATCTAATATTCTACTTTTCTCCTTTGAAAGCTTAAATAGTGTAATAACCTTTCTCATCGATGTTCTCCGCCTATCATGTCGTTATCCTGTTCTAGTCAATTTCCTCTTTTCATATTCCACAAAACGCGAAAAATAACAGCTACAGTTTTTGATGAGGTTATGGGTTGCGCTGTAAGACATAAGATTACACTGAGATGTTTCTTGGTGTGGAATCAATTTTTTTAATAAATTTTTTTGCACTATTGTTGTTATGACGTTTTTAAGAAAATCAATTATTGGTAACATTCCATTTTTTTTACGAAATTTGTCCTATCCACCACATACATTGAACTAAAGCGTTTGCTTATTTCAAACAATGTTTCTTGATAGGGTGTTTTCATTTGACTGATGAATTAATCCACTTTCAATTGATACTGCCGAGCCATATTCCCTTTAGGGCTATCAATTTATTTAAGCTGAATTGTATCCGAAATCTATGTAATTTTAGTCCAATGTATCCACTTCATGTAGAACATGGGTATAGGGTAACGTCACGAATCTGAAGGACAACTAACCGCATGACGGACTTTTAGCCTCATCCATTTAAAGCTACCAATTCATTGGTAGCCGTCTACAGAATCAGTGTATTACAACATAGTAAAACGCGATTCTTAGAGGAAAATGAGTGACATGATAGTCATATCAATAAAAACAGTCATCTGCTTCAAGAAATATAAAACGATGGACTAAAATATAGTTTAACAATTGACAACTATTTAAAGTATGTGAAATAACTTGATTAGCGTTTATCATTTAAGCATATGGCTTTATCAACAGACAATACATAACTGGAAGTTTCCGAAATCCTTCTCAAGAAGAAGAAACGCAACTATCAGTCAATTGAGTAGTTTACAGCAAATTGATTGATTAAAAAGTACTGTTTAAGTCGGATTCCTATTGAACTACAAGAAAAATCATACTTGTACACCAATCTAAACAAACAATACTCAACCGATGGTTATCTTATTATTAATAAGAATCAAATACGTTTAAAACCTACAGTGAAATTGGTGGTAACAAAGAGTTTAATGCAGAGAAGATTTTCAAGACGGATTCGATAATAGAAAGGAATAACTTCAAGTGGATAATCCTTTCATATTTGAAAAAAGGACTTCAGGGAACAAATTTGTTGTTAACGATATCGGTTTCAGAAGCTGTACAACCGCAATTAAAAAATAATGTTCCTGTTTAGTGGTAAAAACGTCAATATTTGTTAATGAACAACTTTCAGTGTAGAGGATAAGAAGCGTAAGTTGGGTTAAGGTTTTACAATGTTAATAAATTAGTGTAGAAAGTAATGGAAGAATTCCTTTGAAACACGTAACTCTAGCTTCCAATTCCATACTAATAAAGCTTTGGCAAAAAAGGTGTTTACTCACACCTGGAATTGTTTGTTCACTGTTGATCAAATGTTGCAGAATGAAACTATTGCTTGATCTAAATTCACCTTCATTCAGCCATGTTGAAAGGTGTTCACATCACCGTTCAATAATCTGCCTTTGTACCTATGTGAACTGATTTCAGCATTTTGAACCAGTCAGCAGTGGTAGTTCAACCTTTACCATTGGGTAGCTATTATAAGTGCTTCCTAGACTTGAGGTATACAATGTCCTCGTAATGACTTCCATTATCAACAAATCTTTACGCCCCAACTACTTTGGCCTCAACAACTGAGTAAGATCAAGAGCCGTCACGCAACAAGTGTCTGAAACATAGACTAATGAAAATCTTTAGAAGAAAATTCTACGTAACAACTCTACGAATCACTTATACTAGCTACCTTACGGTCAATACCTTGTGGAGACTGAATTACTACTGCTAGCTGTTTTAAAATGCACAAATCAGTTCATGTGGTGCTGGTTTTATTAGCTGTGCACAAAAGTAGATTGTTAAACATCGAAGTGAGCACCTTCCAACATGGTCTAAATAAAGGTGAATTTATATTCACCTTGGTGACTGGCAGTGGAATCCAGGATGCGCGTTTCGTCCTATTTGGGACTCGATAGCCCGCTGTTGTACCCTAATGGCCTGGTGGATAACTTTTCAACATTTGAAGTGATGGGTACTGGGTTTCAGTCACAGTGGAAATAACTACTCACTGGGGTGCAGGTGCATCCGGCCGACAAGTCCCAAATAGGATGAAACGTACGTCCTAGATTCCACTGCTAATCATCAAGATGAATATAACACTATGAATATCCCGTAGTATCGAAGCATGAAGCACGTCTGTCAACAGAGGTTGAGCGATTCGGTCGTGTATGGGAATAAGCATCAAAAGAATTTAGACCTATCAACATTTGACTGACAGTGAACCATTTCAGAAGACTTATCGTATGTACAAGAAGGAGAAGCTTGAAGGTGCGAGTAAAGGTCTTTTATAAGTTGCTGAAGCTTTAGTAATACGAAAGTGGAACGCATAACTGCGTGTTTCAAAAGAATTCTTCTATTCACCTTCCTTATTCACTTCATAGCATGGTACACTAATTAATTATTTCAATGTGATTGTACCAGCCTCCGAAAATGATATCGCTGCAAAAAACGTTTTTTCGCTGAAGTCTTCCTTCCTTGATCACTGTGAAAATATAGTAAATAACTTAGATCATGAATATGATTTTGCTAAATTTGTAATTCATACCGAAAATTCAGTTCACTAATGAGTATAATACCTAGCTAATTTTTAGTAATATTGAACAATTAACTGGAAATCAGTAGCAAGACAGAGTGATAAAGTGTACACTTTAGAGTAATAAATTAAAAACAATACTACGAGCTGATAACAGAATAAAGTAAACTCACAAGTAGACCAAGACATTTCGTATATACATGATTCTTAGTTTCTTCACCCTGATCAGCGAATCGCTAGAGTAAAAAAAGTTATGAAGAAATCGATACACAGTTTAATATATGCATATATGTGAATGTATGCATGAATGTTGAGATAGATCAAACTAAAACGACTATCAAATTCTTCTCGACTTATGCATAGCGAACAACACCAGTAGCAGCAACCAACGAACAATTTGATACTAACTCGGTGATAAATCCTTACTCTTATTTTCATTATCTGAGTGAGGGATAGCAATGGTTTTTCAGACTAGTATTGACGCTAGGTTGAAGACTATTGAAGACTATAGGTGAACGTTCAAATACAATGGAGAGAAGTGGCTTTTACACGAACTGATCACTAGTAGATAACCGACAATTATCTAGTCTTTAGTGCTCACATGTTTGCGAGGTATTAAATAAGCTACGCGACAAAACAGTGTGATGCATTGTATTTTCGTGTTAGATGCTGGGAGTCAGTCGGCAATAAACCTTGATTATGTAAATGCTTACTGTTTTTTTAAGGAAACCTAATTTCCCATCACCTAAGCATGTGTTGATTCATCTCTAATATTTAAACCCACTCGGAAATCCGAAGTACTTGTAAAGTCAAGAAGACCTACAGAAACCTTGTGCATGTTGAGTTCAAATCTGGCATGGATTTGAAGTAGCCTAAATGGAAATCAACATTTTAAGTCATCAGCCACTATGGTAGAAGTTTTAGATTCCAATCTTATTTTATGTTACTGTGTGTGGGCGAGGAAAACCTTATTGGACAATTTATCCTTCAGCTGACCAATCGAAAAGTGAATATAAATGATGCATTTTTTGTTGAATTAAGTGTCTTCCTTACAATTACAGGCTGGTCTTTACCTTCTGATTTTCGCAGTTCATTGAAGTATAAGGTTCTAAGGGAGAACAGTGGTTATTCGTATCCAGTCCAAGTGTCTCATCGTATTAATACCGTTCGTGTATTTCACTCGGTCACTTCAAGTATGTTCGTCTTTTCACCGTGATGGACACACGGCTACTATCAACAACAGGTCGTTCATATTTATGTACAATTATCTTCGTATTACCAACCGTATTCAGTAGTGGAACCACTGAGTAAATGATAAAGAGAATTAGCATAGGGTCCTGGTAATGAGAACTGTTGTAGTATTAGGTATTACACCTGTGTACATACTAAAAAGTTTGTGAATGGAGACAAATAGATCAAAATGACACACGTCCACCATCATAATAAGAAAACTGGAAAAGTAAGTGGATAAAGCGAAGCGCAAACAGGGAAACACGAAAAGCATTCGACTCAACATTTTAAATCCAGTATTTTAATGTAGCATCTAGTTAGCATTAAAAGTTAACATAAAAAGGACTAAAAGAAAAATGAGTGTAAGTGTAAGAATAAATGTTTATGAAAAACAAACTGAAAGTGATGTAGCATGGAGAAATCGTGTTCAAAAACAGGTGGACCAGAAAACGAAAACCGGGATAATACCATATGATTCAGTTAACAAACCACTTTAATTGCAACACAGTTAACCATGAATTATGGACTCTTACGAAGAATAAAAACGCAACGATGTCTTCAGCCAACTGTTGGCTGAGGTGATGATGACTAATAGGAACACAGAAATGCTGTGTTTGCATTGTTGTACACAAATAATGCATGCTGTCTCATGCATAATACCAAAGGGTTTACATAGGATGCCTAACGATTTGGTACAAAGCAAAGCATCAGTGTTAAACACATACACACACACACATACACAGTTTTTCTTTAATGATCACCACAGCTTATTTTAAAAGTACTCATTATCACTGGTATCAGTTTCAGTAACAAATATGTATTCCAAAAAACTACAAATAGTTTCAAGGAACAATGGACTCATTCAATCAGTTTACACAAATAACCTTGATGACTCATACCCCAATTATCAATTACGGGATAAAATGAGCATAATATCCAATAAACTCCTAATTGCAATTTCAGGAAGTCTTAATGGGAAGCCTTAACTTGCAGGGTTGACCAAATCGATTGTGAAAACGAATACTCGACAATGGTATTGGATGATGGTAGAGCTACATCGCGAGTCGACAGAGTAAGATAGTGTGGACTATTAGATTGCAGCCGAGTGGCTGAATGGCGACATCTTTTATCCAAGACCTGACGGTCCTATGCTCAAAACTTCGAAGGGCCATGGGTGCGTACTGCTGACGGGGTCCCAAACTAGGATCAAATGTCTGCTCAATGTACCCAGCTTTTCAATGCTTGTCTAAATTGTTAACCCATGATTAGTAATATACTGAGGCAAGAGCGCTATTCTGAAGCTTAAATAGATTGTTTGGTTTCAATGAAACTGAGGACAATAAATCCTATTAAAGGTCGATTACTATCACATAGTGCAGTTCGTTTATACAAATAACTTAAAAACGTACCGCTTTAAAACTATACAGTAAAATGCGAAATTCATAAATACAAATCAACTGTCATCAGTGAGAATATGAACAGACCTTTAAAACTTTTTCATAAATAATTAAACCACCCTGTCGGACAAATCTTAAACAGGCTTCTGGACATTCATCAGTTAGATTCCACAAGGCGGATAACGTGAATCGCAGAGTTGTATCAAAAATCGGTGCTCCCTCAGTACGAAGACGCAATTGAGGCATATAGCTGCGCAAATATGAACCAAGATCTGGTACATCTGACACTAGGAGACATTTGTCAGCAACATAACTTAGTAAACATTCGATTCTTCTTGGATCTTTTGCTAGATCAGATAACCCAGACGTTGAAATCTACAAATGTAGTTTATTTTAGAATGAAGAACATGGAACTTATTCTCTTGAATGAATGCTAAAAAGTGATAAAGTTTACAAAAAATAAGTTAGCACCTCTTGTTAGTAGGATTGCCACGCAGTAACTAAGGTGTTTGATGTTACCAGTTTTTGCAGCTCTGGTTCAAACGTTTTGAACGGAAACTAGCACACGTATCTATTCCCTTTTCTTTAAAGTGGCACAATCTATCAACTTCCAAAGTTTGTGTTGATTATGTTGTCTAGAATGACGATGAAAGCCTCACGACCAAACCATCCAACTTATAGAACACACCATCAAAATCGCTTTCCTGAGCAACAAATATTCGTCATCATCGTAACATTAAACTCTGTTTTTGTAGACAAATTCCACGAAGAATCTTATCGATCGCAGCTCACGAAATTCAGCTCGAAATAAAATAAGTGGAAGTAAAACCAGAACCTACTTTCACGTCCTAGTTAACAAGGACTGCTTTACCTGACTAGTAATCACCAGGCTAAAACATTTGTTACAAAGTCCCAAAACCTTCTTTGATACGCGTAATTTCCTGTTGCTATACAGAGATGAATTGTTCGACCTCTGTTGGCAGATAAGCTCCAATGAGGATGCAGTCTGCTTACTCATTATGTCTATATCTACTCGGTGGCAGGGAGTGGGATCCGGGAGGCGCGTTTCGTCCTATTCATGATTCGTCAGTTGGAGGTACCTGAACCCCAATGATTGATGTCGTTCCCACTGCGACTCAAATCCAGTACCTATGACTTCAAACACCAAAGCGTTACCCCCTAGACCAACAGGAAACTACAAGTATCGAAAGCCACAACTGATAATCGTTGCATAAGAGGTGGTTCTCGTGCCCCGATGGCCTAGTGGCTAACGCTTTGGTGTTTGAAGTGACGGTCATTCACAAATGCATAAACAGAGGTATAGACTATGTTGGTTAAATTCGATGAGATTTCAGAAATCATATGGCTCAAATAGATGGCAGATGAATTCATGTTACTCTTGATCATTTCACTATACTTCTACTACTTTTTCTCCCTGGCAATTTCATTCTACTTTATTATAAACCGTATAAGTGAACATCCAACGGTAACACAAGTATCAGTGAAAAAGTGTGCAATTGTTATATCAATAAACAGCTGACGGAAATCCTATCCTGATGATTACATAACAGTGGTTATTTTTAACGAACATATGAGAAATTATAATTAAAATCATAAAATATTTGGAAAAAATATATAACGTAAAAATGTACAGGACATTCTCTTCATTGAGAAATATTACTAATGCATTAATGGTTGATACACATAGAACAATGAGAAATTGTTATTACAGACAGGAAAACAGCCCTACATGTAAAAGTGAGACTTTACTAGAGGTTTGTGGGGAATAATTTATTGATTTCAGGTTTATATTCAATCATGCCATGACATAAGTTGGAGAACCATTGGAAACCTAGGGCACTGTACAGCTACTTAGTTCTGGTGTGGGACTCCTCAGCAGTGCGCACCCATGGCCCGGCCAGGGATTGAATCCAGAACACTCAGCTTCCGCGGTACACTATATAGTGAACTGACAGAAGTGGGATATGTGAAATGTCGGATGGTAATCCAGTAGCTCAATGGTAATGTGCTGACGCGGAAGCTGAGGTTCCTCGGTGTCAACTGTTGAGGAGTTCAATACCAGGACGAAACAGATGTCCAGTGCTCCCAGGTTTCCAGTTATACTCCAGCTGACGTCAATCTCTGATGAATATCGACCTGAAATCAATATTATTACTATTATCATTATTATTGAGTACAAAAAGTCGGCTAGCAGTTGGCTCTTCTGATACTTATTTGCTGAAGTTCCAGTGTGGTCACCGTCCAACCATCGTGAGTCAATTGTATCAAATCATCAGCAGAAGCATCGAATTCGGTCACTCAGTTTAGCATACACAAGCTCACTCTTATCTATCAAAGCTAGCTATCATGAAAATCGAATAAACTGACTTAAAAAATAGACTCACTTCTGCAGCTAGTATTGAAATTATCGCCACGCCCATACGCTTCATATGAATATCATCAAATGCAAGCAAGTTATTGAAAACCAACTCACAACATTGTATACAGTTGAACGTCTAAACATGAAGTGTATACAAGATAAAAGGTAAGGATCACTTAAACTAAACAGCGAAGTCCTAGTAACAGACAATCTTACTCAATCTCACTGCTGATTCTAAACAGGAATAGCTTGTTGTTTAATCTCTTTAGACAAGACGTATATAAATACAAGGCTTTCGCAGTGCTAGTTATAATTCATAGATAGTTGCACCATACGCTACGGCCAGGTAGATATACAATAACGAACCTCAGACAATTCCGTATATCTGAATCCTAACCCAGTCAACAGTCAGCAAAAGGAGAGACAAATCAAGAGCGAATCGAATATGTTTACTACCGCTCTGAAGTGATACGGCACTGAAGAACTCTCGACTATGCACATGATTTCCTGCAGAAACCTTGCAGATAAGCTATTCGTTTAGCGTGTGTTTCGGTAGCCGAAGCCAAAATTTCTAAACAATTTGAAAAAATATTACATTTCCCAGCCTTTCTGATTCGAATTTTCGGGGAATATTCATATTTCCCAGTAGTAATGAAATAAAGAGGCAGCCACAGCTTTTTTGAGAGACTAAAAAGAGCAGTTTCAGTTATGAGATTCGAAGTAGATGCGTATACATAAAATGGTTGAATTAAAAATCAGATAACATGACACACTCGTGGGACTAAAGAATTAACCCTTATATTGTTTGCTTTTAAAAAAGGGAGTGCAAAAGGTAAACAAGAAGAATGAGATGAAAATGAGTTTTCAAGCGTCTTATAGGGCAGCTTATTCTGTCACTTAAACGTTAAATCAACACAATGAATAGTAAAAAGATCATTAACTGTATCTGATCTTCTTTAGAGGGTTTAAGATTAGTGACAGGTCGGTAGAGAAGGAAGCTATACGAAGGTGTAACCAGGATCCTAAAAATGGGCATCTAACTAATAGGTTTTATCTCCATAATCCGAAGTGGGACTAATCGAAAGCAACACATTGTTTCGAAACAGAGTATGCCAACGGTACGTAGGTATTTCCACAAAATGTGTGTCAGAAGAGATCCCGAGTGTGTTAAATTTACGTAGAATTATAATTCTAGAGAGTATTGAACACAGTATGTAGATCCTAAGTTTAACTGCAAAATAAAACTTCTTTAGACTATAAATGTGTTCAGAAAATCGGCTGTGTAAATCATAACTGTATACAATGAGGAAACATTTTCATGCAGAAGTAAAAGTACTGTTCTGCACTGCCTGCTGAGTGAAGTGTGAGTAATTTCATGTTGTTTAGTTGTAAGTGATGACCAAATTCTATCAATCATTTCGCGCCGAGATCGGTCACCTCGACGGTGAATCTCATAACTTGGTGACCACATTGTAAAATGATCGATACAACTCGGTTAATACCTAGGAATAAACAACATGAAATAGGAAACGTGCCAGTGACTAATAAATGTATCTAATCCAGTCCTACAAAGGATCAATTTCTGCCCAAATGGTTCGAATCTGTGAAAAGGCATCGGTCCCCTTGAGGTTCGACATACGCTCTGCTGACGACTGCCAGTAAGTAAGAAACGTAGGTTTAATTACCTCTAATCCAATAATAATTCTTCTGTTTTGATCACTTAAAACACAGTATTTCTTAGGGGACTAAAAAAAATCTCAGTTTTGGATAGTAAGTCCATACTCTGTAGCTATCCAGTTATAAGAGTGACCCGGACAATAATTAAAATCATTCTAAAAGCGTTCACAAGCGATACAAGAATTTTCAACATCTTAACCTTCTCCACATAAAATCGAAATTTCCAGTAGTGAAATGATGCAATAGAACAGATTCAACTCGCGAGTTAGGTAATTAGCACACATATACAATTAAACTACACTTGTATGCAATAACACATAAAAACGATAGTTAACATGACTATTACATTTGATCTATTACAACGCATACATGAGGAATTTACTCCTAGCAGATGTTGAAAATTTCGATGTAACCTAAATTTGATAAAATTACAAATATTAAAACAGTGTTACATTCGTGAAAACAATCGTGTTTCTTTTTGTTTTTATTCATAACGAAGTTCAAACCTTAAAAATAATGGATCTTATTGACCGGATGAAACCTTTTAAAATGTTATATTGAAAACAGTTTTATTTGAGATCCTCATCAGAATCTAGTGACTGCTAAAAAGTGGTTAGCATATATACCGAATCGCATTCAGAAAATGCCCAGCTACTAAGTGCACTAGTCTCATAGTGGAAACTTTGGAATAGAAGAGGTGAATAAACCCAACAATATAAACTCCCTAAATAAAACTTTTGCCTTATTCCTTTACACTTGATGGTGAGATGGCAATCTAAAGTTACAGTTCAAGTTGCAAAATACTAAATATGCAGTAATGCAGCATCTAGTCACATATTTTCACCCCTTGAATGACGAGTCGTCATCATTTGCAGTTTTGATATTAACAAGCTACCGAGCTGTATTTGCAACTTTATACGAAATTGTATTATAACTTTGACAAGATAGCAAACCATAAATACAACGAAGTGAAAAGGAAATCACAGCTTAGAATGCTATTACGATGCTTTCACTATAAATTCACTTTTGGGCAATTAATGCAAATAAAGCGTCTTACTCTTCTTAGTTACCATTTATTATCATTTTGACTATCTGAGTGAGAGATAGCAATGGTTTTGTAGAGAAGTATTGACCCTGGGTGATGACTGAAGGTGAAATAAAAATTTCGGCCGTGACGGGATCCGAACTAGAAACCCCCGGGTTTCCTACCCAGTGCTCTACCAACTGAACTATGAGACCCGGCTGAGGACCAGATTTTTATTTTACTTCAATCAACAAAGTTTTTGCCCGACTGCCACATGAATTTTCATTTCACCTTCAATCATCATCCAGTATCTTTTAATTACGTTTGCAGATGGTGTATTACAGATAAATAACAAATATGTGAACTCAATTTGGAGGTTTGTGGGCATTTACTGACTTCAAGTTGGTATTCATCACGGACTGACGTCCGTTGAGAAACCAGTGAAAAACTGGGAGCACCGCATAACTGCTTCATCGAAGTATGGAATACCTCAGCAACGTATCATCATCATCCATCAACATAGGAGCAGGCATTACTGCGTAACGGCTCTAGTTGCCACACCTCATATCAGTACATCAAGTAAAAAGGCAGTGAGGTGCAAGATGAAGATAAGAAAATCCAGTCTAAAGAAATATAAAGTATTTAAAGGGAGGAAGGAAGAATGAGAAAGTGGTGAGATTCGGTATAGTGTCGTTAAGATGAGGATAACGTGAGTATACATCTGTGCCACTGACATCGGTTCTGAGTCATATCACCTAGAGTCTCCAACCACTGGCTCCTCTTTTCCTGCGGACCTCAACCCCGCTAGTCTGCATCGCCCCACATGACTCAAACCATCAGTCAAAGACTTCACACATTGATGCCATGTTTTAGTCTGGCCACGTCGGGCCTTTTCCAGACTGGACCTACTTCAGCCAACATTGTGTGACAAGGCAAGACTAAGCACACGTAACACGTAACCATCTCAGTCGATGAAGGTTCACCACCGTGTCAACTGACTTACTTCTTCTCCCTAAAACTACACCTAACGTCTGAATTACTCACGTGGTGACACCATGGAATACGGTCTATGCTACGAAGGCAACGGTGGTCAAACACCTGAAGCCTTCTCATGCCTTCCACCTTCAATGGCCATGTTTCACAGCCATACAGTAGAACAGAGAGGACTGTTGTACAGTACACACGACTTATAATATACAATCGGATGCTCAGCAGGGAACACCAAGTCGGAAGTGAGGACAGGTACTCGACGACGACATTGTAGACAGATCACGCCTATCTTGTGAATTGACAAAAGTAGGAAAACGTAAACCACTAGATTTCAACCCAGTGGCTCAATGATGATGCACTCGCCAGGTAACCGGAAGGTTCCGGGGTTCGAGCCTTGGTGAAGTCATGGGTGCATGCTGCCGAGGAGTCTCATACTAGGACGAAAAAGCTGTCTAGCACTATCAGGTTTCCAATAGTTCTCCAACTGATGTAGGTCTACGATGAATATCAACTTGAAATACGTGAACCATATCCACCACCTGAGTTCGTTGATTTAATTAAGGTACCTCCATACTTTCACAGAAAGCACATAAACATACAGGTAAAAAATCAGTTGTAGAGCCTTTTCGTAAGAAAATATTATTCACAAAACAAATATCTTTAAAAGGGATAAGCCTAAACACAAACTCAGCACAAGACTAATGCTAAGAGGGACATCACATACAACGCTGAAGTTCAGACACAACTATTACATGTTGCTGAGGCTAAGCAATTACCCTTTCCTCGGTCACGGAAGACTTGACGAATAACCTAACTTCTACCGATTTCGAAACTGTTTTTTCCCTTTTCGTTTCTTTTGACGCTTTTCATACCTCTAGAATATTCAGAATCAGACTAGGATGGTTCACTAACTTCATCTTTTAGTACTCCACAACCCCTACATCCTTTTTACAGAAGTGATATATTTTAATATAAGAGTAAAACTTGTGCACAGTGGTAGAACGTAATTCCGTTTCAACTGATTTATTAGATTTATCACACAGTGTAACAGTATTGTTTACTGGATTACGTTTCGGATATAATTTATTGTCCATAGTCATATCAAGATGGCTTTGAGACATCCTTTATATAGTCCTAATTTCCTCACTCCCTTTGTGATATGGATAGTAAGATTTTCTATATATGCGAAACAGATGCTGAGTCATTACTGCTGCATTTATCAGGTGTTGATTCGATAAAAAAAGACTCAGTTATCAATTTCTCCCTCCACTTTGTTATGTTAGTTTTGAGTATTTTTACTCTGTCTCATCCTACTGTGTCGTTGTGCGTAACTACATCCATAGCTTTCTGTGCTGGGATAGCTCGAAAATAAGAACTATAGAAAAGATGTCTCAAATTTGTGCAATTATCTTGATATAACTATGACAATAAATTATGTCCGAAACATAACAATACTGTTACATTGTGTGATTATTCTAACAAATCAATTAAAATGGAACTGACCTGCTTTCACTACTGAGAAATTCGTTTACACCATGATCTTATCTTTCATGTTCTTATCATCAATTGTGCTGCTGCTGTTGACTTCTCTATCCTCTTAAACTGAAGAATCTACATTGATGTTATCGGTGATAAACAAATGATCACAATTAGGTCATACTGTGTATACGAGATTGAAGCGAAGTATGTCAGAGTCTGAGGATATTTTATAGAAAACAGGGTAGTTTTAATTCAAAATGTTAATACCCTATGGACAAGTAGTTTGACAGTGATTTATGCATAAACACATTCAAAAACATCCTTACTGTTGAGAAATACAGATAACGGTGTATAACATGGAGATGACTTGGAGATTTCATACTGCTTTATAGTGCTGAAATGACTAAATATCAATTTTTAGCCTTCTTCATCTTCCTTTCCCTTATGTGAAGAGATATGGCTCAACTTGCAACCATAAAAAGCTTCTCTCTAAATGAAAACAGTATTAATTTCCATTGAGGGCTGATTCATCCATACTTTTCAAAAGGACCATGCACACACAATCTTTCGTAGGAGTAACTACTTGTGTTCACTAAAGAAACCCAGTAAAAATAGTATCCCCTTGAATACACTTGTAATATTTTGCCAATATATAAATTATTTAGTAAGCGTTAAACATGGTGTAATGAGTAATTTATCTTTACAGTCAGTATCACACAAAACCATTGTTTTACAATCACTAGCTATTTTTATCTATATCGTTTTATAATTTTAAGAATTTAATTTCTGTGTGCCCGAAATATCGGATAAATAGGAAGGAAAGCCTAATAGTTCTACAAACAGACATTCTATTCACTATATGTGGAAAAAGACTGGTCGATTTGACAGGAAGCTTCTAAATCATCGACAAATGTTCAAGAAACTACCTTTTAAAACCTGGTTCAAGGAATATACTCAACAACCTCTTATGACGAAGAGCAAAATTATCAAAAATTTCTGACCAATGTAACTGGATTCCGTTTAGATATAAAATTGAATGATATGTAATATCACACTGTTGCTAGTGAACACTTAAATACTTTTTACTTACAGCTCGATAAAGTACAGTGTCGCTACACAATGTTAAAAAGCAATTCTTTTGTAGTTGCCTATTGTCTGGAAACTTCTCCATTGCCGTCAACGTCATACGAACTGAACGATTTAATAGATCCAAAGGGAGTTGGTTGCTTTGCTCACTTCTAGTTAAGTTGTATATTACAGCCGTTCCGGCCAATATCATTTCCATTCTTCTCAGATGCAGCCGCATCACGCGTAAAACAGCCTGAGGTAAATAACCATAGAATGGTGGTCAAAAAAGCTGCATATAAATTATTTATTACAGTCATTTTTGTAGGAACATACATGCATACGAATATGTCACTAAACGCAATAACAAAGCATACTAGAATGCAGAAAATAAGAATCATAAGCTTTTACAGGAAACACGTCTTCTGTGGGGGAAAAACCAGAGATTCCTTGATAATGAGGTTCTAAATTGTATATACATTAGGTTGCAATAACGGCTGAGGTTACATGCTGAACTCCGTGACGGCATGTTAATAAAATTTACCTTCAATCTCATTAAAACATGGGTGGCTGATTTCAGTAAGTCAGTGAACTGATAGCTTTGCGGGAAGAAGCAACAAATTTCTGCGCACCAGGTAAACGGCTCCTCAATAATCTACTTATCAATTAAGTTTGTAACCGCTCCTGACATCCCCACTGTCAAATGAGAAAGACAAATTAACAACCTAAAACCAGAAACAATATTCCACTGGGTAAAGTGACCATACCTCAAAAAAAATATCAACAGAAGACCAATATGGAAAATAAAGTATTATAACAAACCAACGCAGTTTCAGCTCAGTCTAGGGAGTTGACTTTCAAACATTGGGTCGCGAGATTGAACACCGCTCCACCTACTGAAGTTTGGGCGGTCACATAACATCATTAGCCCTCACAATAGGTGTGGATCACTGCCTACTGCATGAATGTGCACAAGGTTGCCGAGTGGATTCCGATAGTAAACCATTTCATGAAGAAGCAAGTAGAAAGTAACTTACTCATTTCAGAAAAAATCGTGAATATATACGGATCGTCACTAACAGTTTGAGCGATATCCCTCAAGTATATCGACTGAAACCTGTTTCAGGGAGAATAAGAAATTCAGTTGATTCGGTTATGAACCTACATCGACTCAGGTGGCTGGCACATGTGTTACGCACTAGTCACCGTCTGCATCGTCGCATAATGATAGCTGAAGTAGGTTTAGACTGGGGGTAGCCAGATTAAAACATAGGATAAGTGCTTGAAACCTATGACTGTTGCGCTGAGCCGTGTAGGGAAATGTAGACTTGTCGGTTGGGGCATAAGTTATAGCAGAGACTAGGAAGTTTGAGACTTGGTGACATGGCTCAGAATCGATCTGTGGTCCAAATGTATACACACATTGTCCTTATCTTAATTTTCATCGCTGTTCTACCTTGTTATCATAATCATGATACCACTTCTGACTGCTTCCTTTTATGTTACTTTCTTTCATTTTAATGCCTTTTCGCTGGATGTGTTCACGTGAAGTGTGACAAGTCAGACTATTACGCAATAACACCAGGTCCTATATGGATTCTGTCCGTCTGTGTCAAAGCTCCCAAGTAGTGGATCCCACCAACAAATTTTAGGCAGTAAGCCTACACTAATAGTTACGGACTTCGACGCTTATTTCCATATCTTGACTTAACATTCAGCTTACTCTTGCAACAACCAAAATCAAGGATCGAGTTTGATGATAATTGGATAAGTACCATACGTTGCTTGTTGATTGCGCTCGATTCAATAATTACTCCATTAACTGGATTATCTCCTTCATCTAAAACTGTACTTCCAATGTTCAAAAAGACAATGGAAAATGAGGATGAGTGAAAGATATCAATCAAACATCCAACACCACGGCATGCATTCAAAGTCCATTCCTTGAAATCGTTCTTAATAATGTAATTTATTGTGTCTAGGCAGTCAAAATGAACTTGTAAAAAAGCGCTTCAAAATGTACTACTAAACCATCAGCAGATTAAGCTTAATTCAAATTCCCACACCAAACAACGTTTAATACTCACCTGCAGAAGATCTGGCTTCACAGATTCACGGTTGCTGGTAGCTTCAAAGATACTATGAAGAGCATGCTGAAGATAAAAAGCTCTATCCTTATTACGTGTCAATGTATTCAATAGCAGTTGGTCACCTCTGTCTCCCAACATCTAAACAATATAAAAGTTTTATTCGATAAATTGCTGCATAGCGTAACTTTAAAACTATGTGATTTTCGAAATAAGTAAATGGAGTGCTTAAAAGATAACTACCAGGTTACGTGAAAAATCAGTGTAACTCAATTAGCAGGAAACCTTAAAAGTATGTAACGCATGTTCCCTACTTTGAACAATAACCAACAAGGGGAAACTGCATTCTACAGTAAACTGACATTCCCTTAAGAAAGAAGATCGTAACACTAACTCAGGGAAATACGGTTGAAAATACAACCTTAGGAAATGCAAATTTATTAAAAATTTACGCAAAAACCTTTAAAGTTATCCATCCAAAAAGTTCATCTCAGAATGACAACCGACCGACCACGCGAAATGGTGGGGTTAATATTCAACGATCAACAATAACTTTATAGGTTACCATCCAATGCATAAAAATAAAAACGTAAATACACTGAAAGAAATAAAACAATGTGGTTACAAAACATATTTCACCTTGGTTCAAAGAACAAGAGCGTATGGTTAGGTTTTTTATCGCTAACTAAGTTTTGCATTTGGTTCAATGTAAACTTGTAGATTACCAGGTATATCAAAAAAGGATTTTTAAAAAGTTACAAATACTGATATTTTTCTACTATCTTTTGAAAATGCAGAGATGCGGCTCGTCGGTTCAGGACCTAACTTCCACAACTAATAGCTCCCGGGCTGAAACCCACTTCGACTATAGTAACCTGCATAACTAGGTAATATTATTTCTTCCTAAAGTGCGGTTTATAGCCTAAAAAATTAGCCTTTACCGGTCTAATTTGTACTTAAAACAGATATGAGGTGGCTAAAAATCATACCACACTGGTAGTCGCTAAAAATCCCAATTTCGGTGGCAAGCAAGTTTTTGTAAGGGTACAACAGCCACATGGGTCATGTTTAGGCAACAAACTTCTGCAAAAAATCCCCTGATTTTCAGTCTCAAACACGATCAAATGGCATAAAATCTATCAATCGGAAGCTTTTTCTCTGAGCAGCCATAAAACTGTCCTGTCAATACCACTGTGCAAAGCTCAGTAACAATGATACATTCTTCATTATCGACAAGCAAGTGAGACATCATGGTGAGTTGCGTACATCGACTTCTTCCCCTGAAACACAGAGGTGGTGAACGGCAAGGAGATGGAAAGGGCATCAGCATTCATTATTACTCAAGGATACCCAAGGATACGAGCAAGACGGAGCACCGCTCAACTGATACACAGCAACGCTTTAGTCGTCCAGCATCCAGTCCAGGTGGGAATGAGATGCAGATATCTGTCATTCGACTCTCCTTGAGGATGAGAAGGCTGTTCCTAACCTGAAACTATGCAAAGCAGCAGGACCTGATGGTTTGGCACCTAGAGATTTTAAGCATGAAGGTATGAAGTTACTGAGCAGAGTAATGGAGACACTAGGTAACATGTGGTAGTCTACTAGACTGATCTATTTCAATGATTATTTCGGTCTACAATAAAGGAGAGAAGTCTCCTTGTAACAGCCGCATGTGTTAATGTGGCTAGCATAGCTCCCAAGACCCTGGAATACATGGTTATTCGACGCTTAATTGGGGCTTTCTCGACAACAGCAAATTCGATAAACCCGGGTAGCTTTCAGACCTGGGTGAGGGTTCGTCGATCAGATCTTCGCCCTTCGAGAGATCTTGGAATACAGGCATGCCGGTGTCCGACACTTACCACATTTATGAACGTGGAAGTGGCATTCGACTCTGTCGACCAAGAAGTGTTGTGGGTAAATTTCAATGTGTTTTTACAATATTTTATCTATAATCCATTTACCCAATGCTCATCTAAAATTTTGATCCTGAAGTTTACTGAATCACATTTATTAAAGACAACGGCATCTGGGTCTCAACATTTTGAAAGAAGATTCCCATATGCTACTCTTCAATCGTGTGATAATGCTGTAATACTGATTTGCACCGAACGCACAGTAAGGATGACCGCTAATTCATATCAACTTGGTGAATCAGTTGGTGATGAAATCTCAAAAAGATACACATGATCAACCTATCACCTACCAACGAATATGGCTTCTTTGATGATAAATCAACCTAAAAGTTAAAGTATACAGCAACTGGAAGATAGTTTCCTTCCCCTTTACACATATAGGGAAAAAAAATATGCTGGATGTATTTGTTCTAGCTCATCTTCACAGCATCATTCACGTGCAGTGAACCACTGAGTAAAAATCTTGAGACCAGTTAAACTACCAGATAAAGGTGTTAGTCAATGATATTCCAAACTGTGGCCGATTGCAATGGTCGGAGTATGTAGTACGCATCTGAAGTTACTACCTACTAAATACAATCATAGGTGAAGTTAGATTATGTAGGTAGAAAGCCTACGATGGACAGAAAAAGACAGTACCAGTTGACAAATTCTGACTGTTGATCTGAAATAAACTAGACTACTTGATGGGGTCATAAAAATGTTAGAAACCAGTGGCTAAAGACTCTAGGATATTACTTACCAACCGTAATGGCATAATTGTACCAACCACTTATCCTCAAAGTTCTATAAAGAACAGCTAACCTTTGCTTAGCTACTCTTTTTCTTGCTACGTTTTTTGTTTTCCATTTTCCTATCTTCACCTTTCTGTGATGCGTACATACGTGGCAAACTGAAATGACGTACGTTGTAGAAGCTCCTGGATTTATTTATTTGTCCCCTGTCGACAACCCACAGAACTCCCGAATACCATTTTAGTCTGTTTATTAGAAATATCACAGTGAAACAGTAGCATTTATTGGATAACGTTTCGGACACAATTCATTGTCCATATTCATATCAGGTAACTCCACAACTTCGAGACAGACCTTATAATATTCCTAGTTTTCTCTCCTTCTCTGTGATGACAAGGGTAGTAGAATTTTGAATATATCTGGGACAGGTGCAGAATCATTTCGATTGCATGTGTTTGGTGTTGATTCGGTAAACAAAGATTCGGTTATCAATCTCACCCTCCACCCAACTAAGTTAGTTTTCAACACTGTCGCCCAATCCCACCCTACTGTGTGATTGTGTGTCATCGCATGCAGAGCTCTGCATGTTTATCGAATCAACACCAAACACATGCAATCGAAATGATTCTGCACCTGTCCCAGATATATTCAAAATTCTACTACCCTTGTCATCACAGAGAAGGAGAGAAAACTAGGAATATTATAAGGTCTGTCTCGAAGTTGTGGAGTTACCTGATATGAATATGGACAATGAATTGTGTCCGAAACGTTATCCAATAAATGCTACTGTTTCACTGTGATATTTCTAATAAACAGACTAAAATGGAATTACAACCGACCACAGTGCCCAAATTTTACTCTTATATTAACTCTCGAATAGCTGGGTCAGTCTCGACTTTAGCTCCATTTCATCGCACTTGTATAGCGAAATGAGTGTTTAAACACTCGCCCCGAAAAAATTGTGGGAACATGAACAGACTTTCGTACGCATGTAGTGTTTTACACAATTTCTTAGAATTTTCGGCTGCTTGTTCATTTAGGGATATCCACAAACCAATATACTAGTGTCAGACGTCTAGGCAACACAAATCGAAGTCACGACAGTAAATTTTGAACATGCGACTTTTAATAAGCAGCATTAAGATGTGAAGAAAAGAAACCTGGTAGATTGTGATACGATCTGATGGCACGCGGAAATAAAAACCCTATATTCAACACTTTTCCTTCCGTAGTCTGTTAAATATAGGTTATGTGAAAGGGTAGTTATTATAATTATTATTTGTCCCTTTTCAATCAATCAATCAATATCTACATAGGACCAGGCATTACTGCGTAACGGTCCGAGTTGTCACACCTCATATCAGTACATCAAGTAGGAAGGTAGTGAGGTGAAAAATGAGGATAAAAGAATGCAGTCAAAAGAAATATACTAAAAGAGATAAACGAAGAATGAGAAAGTGGTGATATTCGGTATAGCGTCGTTAAGATGTTCCTTTTGGTTCCTGGTGGAACATAGGGCTTCAGTATCATGTCTCCATTTCACTCTGTTCTCTGGAGTCTTTTGAACCTGGCTCCACCACTGCCCATAACCTTTTATTTCTTTCTAACAGGATCTCCTCCATGTCACCCTCGGATGCCCAACTAGTCGTTTCTCCTTTGGATTCCACTAGGGGGCATGGCCTGGTGCGTGATGTCCCCAAACTATCTTCCCAGTGTATACTCAATCCATCTCCACTTTCTTCTGCATATTTGTTGGGCGATAGGTTCTTTGTTAGTTCGTTGCCAGGCCGAAGTCCCTAGTTGCTTATTCTTATTATTCTGGCCATCTCATCTTCAGTACCGAGTGAGCGTAGGTGGCAGCTGTTGATGAATGTCTGTAATTTGTTGAAAATGCTTTTCGTGACGCGCCAAGTCTCTCAACCATCACATAGAAGCACTGACTTAACTGAATTAGTGTTGATAATCCGGATCTTGTTCACGCTTTATGCTGAGTGCAGTGCAGCAGATCTCCACACTGACTTCAGTTTAGTGAAGTTCTGTCTTGCTTTCCCGATCCTGGTTTGACGTCCTCATCTGTGCCTGTGCTACCTGTAGTTGAAACGATGCTGCCTAGGTGGTAGGTGGAAGAGACAACTTCCTTTAGACTTCTCCCGTTGATGGTTATTGGTGCTTCTTGTTGTTGGTAGTGGTGGTTGGATATCTTCATCATCCCTGTCTTCTCTACGTTCACCCGAAGGAATTCCCGTCCTCTCTGCCTGGCCTCTTTTGCCAACTTGTTAGTTTTCATCTGTAGATCTTCGAGTTTGTACGACATTAGACATAAACGATCATCGGTTAAATGCAAATCTTCTTCTGGGGTCTTTTCATTGGTCCAGCCAGCGTATGCCCCTCTTCTCACAGCTTCTCACAGTTTCTTGCATGATGCAGTCCACCACAATCAGGAAGATCATCGGTGATAACAGATAACCTTGTTGAATGAGGTTGATAAAGGTTTCTGGCACTGAAAGTGTAGTGTTGAAGTAGTTTCCGCATTACTTCTCGGTAGACGCCATTGAAGGCCTTTTCAAAATCGATGAAGTGTAGGTTGAGTGGAGTCGACTGCCATTCTATGCTCTGTTCTATAATGATGCGTACCCTAGCGTTGCGTTGCAATTTGATCCGTACATGATTTATTCTTCCTAAAGTCAGCCTGTTCCGGTCGTAATTTTGAATCCAGAGCAATTTTTAGTTTCTCCAGAATGTAGAGGCTTAATATTTTGCTTGGGGTGGACAGGAGTGGAGTATGTTCTTGCTCCAGTTCTTGCAGACTTAGGTCGCCCTTCTTTGGGAGTTTGATAAGGCAGCCCTTCTTCCAGTCGGAAGGTACCTTTCTTTCCTTCCTTTCGAACCATCTGCAGTAGCGGTGTGAGCGTGACCGCTGTTGTCTCTGCGTCTGTTCCCAGTGCTTCTGGGGGAATTCCATCGAGTCCTGCTGCTTTCTCGAATTTCAGCAGTTTTATGGCGTTCAGGACTTGACTTCTGCTTTTGTCAGAGGGCTATTGTTCACTTGTTTTCTGTAGCTGGGGTGCTGGCGGTCGATTCAAGAGTTGTTTGAAGTAGTCAGCCTATTGCTTCCTCTGTTTTTCCTCTTTGCTAAGTTTCCTTCACTATCTCCAATTGGTTTCATCTGTGTTGATCTCCCACCTCCCAGGTAGTAACCTGGTTATTTGATATTGTTTTGTCAGGTCTGTCTCTCCTACCTGCTTCACTTGCCACTGTGTCGCAGTAGCGTCTTTTGTCTTTGGGCGCACTCTTCTTCACTTCTTTGTCCAGTGTAGTGTTTTAAAGGTTGTGTTCAGTTCCCGTTTTCCTTGTTCATCCCAGCACTGCACTGCACAGTTTCATCTTCTGCTCCACCATCTTCCTCTATCTCTCCCTCCTCTATCAGCTTCCATGTGTCCGTCGAGATCCATTCCTTATCTCCTTTCTTCTTTCTTCCTAATACAGTTGCGCAGGTTTCTTTCCACATAGCTTTCAAAGAGTTCCAGTGTTCTTCCATGCAGGTTTCTTCAGGGATGTTACTTAGTGTCCCGCATTTCTTCCTGATGGCTACTGACATGAAGATATCCTTTGTAGTTTCGTCCTTCAGTTCACTTTCTGTTCTGGGTGTTGAACTTTAAGGGTGATCTATCATCAACTTCTTTGAAGGCTTTCAACTTGATTTTGAAGGTACGTTCTTTGCACTAAACAGTGAGTGGTGTGAACCTACATCTGCTCCCTCCTTGGTCTGATCTTGTATCCAGTAGGCTGCGTCTCCACTTTCTTCACATTGAGATGAAGTCGATTTGATTTTTAATGTGTCCATCTGGTGAAATCAAATCTATGTTGCTTCCATGTGAATATCCTTGTGCTTGTACACACTGCCTGGCCTCCAATCACCAAATCGTTGAATGCGCAGAAGTCTGAAAACAGTTCTCCATTCTCGTTCATTTCACCTAGCACTTCTCGACCCATGGTTAGTTCTCTTCCTGTGTTGTCTTCTCCCAGTTTGGCATTCATGTCGCCCATTAGAATTTTGATGTCGCCATCTAGGGTGGGGTCTTTTTCAGTGCTGATTGCAGTTATCTGTAGAAGTCCCCCTTCTTCTCTTGACCTGCGTTATTTGTAGGTGCGAAACGTAGCATTGTATGATTGTGACTTCCCTCCCTTTGATTTGAATCTTACTGTCATGATCCTGGAGGAGATTGGTCCCCACTGCATGAGAGAGAGCCTTTGATGCTCTTGGAGACATCATGATAGCCACTCCAAAACTTAGTGCGCTCGCGGTTGTCGTCCAGTTGACAACATCGGAGTAGATTATTGACTCTCCACTTGACAGTTGAGAGTCCACTTCTATTTCATCTGCTTTCGCAGATTCCTAACACATCTATGCTATACTTTTTAATCTCTTTTGCAATCTGGGCAGCCTTGGTAGGTTCAAACATTGTTCGAACATTCCATGTCCCCATTCTTACTTTCGCTTTCATCGTGGGAGAGAAGACACATCAGTCAATTTGCTTTCCGAAGGCTTTTGTAAACTGGCGTCATTTCGTCTCTCCGATTTCAGCGAGGAACAGGTTTTATTGTTTTCTCGTGCTTTGGGTTGGTTTTACGGGGTGGAGTTGCTAGCCCTAGGCCCAACCTTTCCTCTTTATCCGGGCTTAGGACCGGCAAGTAACTAGTGAACTAGTTAACTAGGCGAGGTTATAAGGGTAGTTAAGCCGTATTTAATGTTTAACTACAAAATATACTTGTATGTATTGTGGTTCTTAAACAATCAATGCAAATTCTAAGACAAATATGACAAAAATCATACAGATTTATGGCACTTGATAACAGACATGATCAAGTGCAAGGTTTTCACTTAAGTCACGAAGGAACGAAACATACTCAGCCACCTAGCGCACGTTCAGGAAGTAGGTAGTAAGGCACGCTTATTTTGTGAGGGCTAGTGACACTACCTGACTGCCAAAACTTCGGTAGGTGGAGCGAGGCTTGAACCTGTGACCAATGGTTGTTAGCCATCTCCCTTAAACCTGTGAAGTGCTTCCTGTACCTGTAAAAAGTGAAGTACCTAGAATATCCGGTCCAATCCACTAGTCGTCCGTTTAAGAAGAAAACCCGTTATTCGCAATCAGCCACACAGATACTCCCTGAAGGGAGTTTAAAAATGTGTATGAGACAAGTCAAGGTATGAACAATGATAATACATTAGTATTCAACTTACTGTGATATAAGGATACTGATGAGAAAGCCTATAAACTCCTTCCAACTCATGTTCATGACTTGAAAGCCAGGATGCGAACCCGGCAAACGTAAGTCTCGGATGGTTCTCGAGCAGAGTCCTGAAAAGTAATTATAACTTCATCACAAACTATGTACCTTGCGTCACTGAGTTTCAACCCAAACTGGTTTCCCGATAAATCTATGTGCTCCAAGAACGGCAAAGCTTCAGAAGAGCACAGTCTGTCAACAGCGTCAAACCTCCCAATATTAGTCCGCGGTTTGTCAGAAACATCAAGTATGCGTAGTTGATGGAGTTCAACTACATTGCACAATAACTTCTCAATATCATCTGTCCTTTCCAGCTGCAAACGATGCATTATTAGCCCGTTGAGGCGATCACGGATATTCAGTAGAGGAGTTATATCCGTCACACGTGTTCGGGAGATGTTAAGATAACGCAGATTTAAAAGGTCATCAGCAATGATTTGCAGACATTGTGTACTTAGTTCTGTCCTGCTTGCATTTAGGACGCTTAGGTTTTTGAACCTCCCTAGTGCGACTAAAATGGGTAGATGAGTTTCACATAAAATAGAAGTTCCTGATATATTAAGGCACATCAGATTTTGGACTGTCCATTCACCAAGACAACTGATAATAGTATTCAGGTTTACTTTCGTTAAATTCATTGCAGAAAGACTGTATAAGTGGAAATCTTTGAGAACTTTTAATGAAGCGGGACCGACATTTGCCTCTTTGATAACTGGAGACACCAGGTCAACACAATCTGCTGTAAAAAGACTCATTCGATCATCATCTAGAGCGCTTCGTTTGCACAGCTGTAGCAAAATTTTCTGGGAGGGACGAGCGACCAGTCTGAACCCTGGATATGGAAACCTCCACTTTCGCTTAACCTCACAGTTTTCGTTGCTCAAATAGGTCAGTACATTGAGATTCTTACACACACACCTGACACACAAATCTTCAAGCGATGAAAGCGCATCCTCTGAAAGATAACATGGTAACAAAATGGTATGAGCAAGCGTGTATGAATATATATGGTGTCTACACAGCTACATTCAACGTCCGTACAAAAAGCACTTACTTTTGATGAAGCAGTCAGAAGACAACGCCATCCAATTGGTAGCGTACAGTCTAAATTGAGCACACGTCCAGTTTTCTTTCTTCAGTATGCAATGTCCAACATCTTCTTACGTACAAGTGTAAACCAACTGATTTCTTCGCGTTCGCCTCTAGGTCATGGGAAATAGTTCCAAGTGTTTGGTGGATTCCGATGCAGTAGGTTTACCCACTCAACTGTTGTAGCTCTGGTTGGCCCTAGGGGCGGTCGGGTATTGGTTAAATTTGTAGGGAGTGTGTGGGTTTTTTCCAATGACTGTAGTGCAGATGGGTTCCTCAGGTTTCGTGCCAGCAAACAATTGGTTTGACTGGTTGCGAAAAGAAGACGGGAAATATGTATAGACAAATAAAGGGAGAGAAAGTACGAAGAAAAAGAAACAATAAGAGAAAGACCGACTAGGAAAAAGGAAACAGTAGGGAAGAAAAAACATAGGCAGATTCGTGAGAGAGGGGTGGTAGGGAGACCTTTCATTAAAAAGTGAGAACACAAACTCAGAAGGAATGGAGGGGGTAAACAACATTACAGGACGGCTTATTCGAATAGAGATAGTATTTCTACAAGTAGGAGACGGTAACTGGGGTGGGACATCCATAGGGAATTATAAAGTTGGGCCAAGTTCGCGACGATAGTGGTGTTACAAAGTATTCTTTAATGGGTCGACCGTACTGAGTTGGCAGGTTTTGTCAGCCTAGTCCATATCCCAGCTAGATGAGCGCAAGCCGTGCGTCGCTGCGTAACTGTCCAACCTCTTCTTGAAGCTGTCAACAGACTGAGCAGTAGCAATCTCAACAGCCACCGAAAACCCACGGAGAGAAGTGTGAACACACATGGGTGTTTGCCGTTTGGTGAACGGCTGTCCTTGAGCAGCGATGAGGTTCCTTACAGTGGCCGTCCGGTAGGATTCCACTCTCCCGATGACTTGGGTTACTTAACATTTTATAAGCCGTTATCAAGTCACCACGCAGTCTACTGTGGCTTGGAGAATAGTGTCCTAGATCTTTCAGCCTGTCCCCACAGGGTTTTCGCCTCATTCCCACGACACCCATTGTAGCTCGCCTTTGAACTTTCTCCAGGAGGTTCACACCTTTTTAGATATGGTGGTGCAGTGACGTTGTGGACCTCTAGGCGAGGTCGTGTGTAGGGCTTGCACAGCTTCAAAAAGAGTCCTGGGGTCCCGGCACCTAGCTGTCTGTGCATGAAGCGCAGTATGGCGTGGGCTCTGGAGGTATCTCCTGGATAACTGGAGTTAGTGTCTAGCTTGTCCGTCTGTATTGGTCCTCGGTCCTTCTTCGTGGTGGTGTGAGAATGTTGTGTTCCACAGAGAGAACAAGGTACCTTCTGAGAGTCAGGGGTGTCGAAAAATGTGGCTAATCCAGATTAAATGCTAGTCTATTAATATCCACCTACTCTGCAAGTAATCTCAGATCACTTTGCCGTGTACTTGGTTCTGTTTCGGACGTCATAGCTCTCCATGACTTAACACCGTTGGCAGAATTGGGGAGCTGAGATTCAGTGGGAGGTCGTTCACAAAGAGGAGGAATACCAGCGAACCCAGAATCACTCTGTGAGGCACCAGATGATGATATCTTCCAAGTCGAACAGACTCTGCTGGTTTTCGTACAGAATTCTCTACCGTCTAGATAGTCCTGTAGCCAGGAGGGCACTTGACCATTGATACCCAACCTTGATATCTTGTGAATAAGAATGGTGTGCGGGACTGTGTCAAAGACCTTAACGAAACCCAGGGAAATGGCATGAACAGGAGTTCGGGGGTTCCAACATGCCGTCCACTTATCGCCGGCCGCCAGGATGCTTGAGACTCAGGATCTACCCTTTCTGATACCTTGCTGAGCATCACTTAGTGCTTCCCTCCCCTCCAAGTACTCTCTGACATAGTCTTCAACCAGGCTCTCTATTACTTTTAACACCACCAGTGGAAGTGCTATGGGTAGAAAGCAATTTGGGTTCTGCCTGTCTCTTCACAAAATTCTTTTCATTGGGGACTCTTCACTAAAATAAGATAACAGGCCAGTTCAATCTAAGCTTGTCCTTTCAGGTGGTTTCTCTGCAGACGTCAAGTTTGTCCTTGAATGCGTTCAACGAAGGAGTTAATACCATCACCAATGTCCATTATCTTTTTGCCAACTAATGATAATAATAAACAGGGACGCATCATTTTTGTCGTTACATGCGAATTTCTACACGTTTCTTGAGAGCATGTGGCTTCGGTCCCCGCCCGTCCAGTCACTAGAAGACAAATGTGTTGCATTTTAATGAGGTGAAGCACCGCATCGACAAAAAGCCAGGGTTTGTGTTTGATCATCACATCCTTTGCTTGGAGGAAAATAAATCTTCCATAAGTACTCCCATTGTTACACCTCATATATTTCACCCAAGAACAATGATGAAAAGTTTGTGGATCAATACATGAATGATTGCTTGGGGGGTATGATATTGTCATCCTGTTGGGGGGAAAACGCTGAGAATATTCAGATGTTTCGGAATGCTTTAGGAATCACAGTATGTTCGGTCATTCTCCATACACCTGTCAAATAAATAGTAACGCTTGATGGCTGTTGTTTGCCAACTCATAGTTCGGGGGCAAGGAGTCAAGTCCTGGAATGCATCAACCACCTCACTTATTTGTGGAGTTGTATCAACAGTAACCAACTTTTTCTTCATAGTATCCTTATTTATGCATATCTTCTGTCCCACTACATATGAAGCTGTACTACCTGGTTTCGTTCTGACTGGACTTCAGTGTAAGTTTTGAAAACCTACCATGCACAGATATATATATATATATATATATATATATATATATATATATATATAACAGCCCTCCATCGAGTGAGGAAGATTGATCTTGCTTTCTGTGTCTTGTCAGGAATCATGTGTCTCCCATCCACTGCAGCAGAAAATGTGGTGCAAATATGTTTTCGTTCAGCGCTATAGCACCAAAGTATTCAGTAAATTCTGAAAAGGGCTGTGGACTTAGATATGTGCGTATCAATTCTAATCATATAAGTCCCGTTCTGTCTCTTAGACTGTTAGACATTTCAAAGATGTTATTCTGGTAGTGATACTGGGGTCCGGTAGAATGGAAATGAAACTGAGTAACAGCAAGATTTTGGGCAGCCTCTGAATGCCGGCATCAGCAACATGACTGTACCGAATGACGGTTGTCTCAGTTTATCTCACCATTACTGTTTTGCACTAAAACTCAGCTCATTGATACTTTATTTGGATGGCGAAATCCTTCATCTCATTGCAGACTATTTCCCGTCACATACTCTCACAAGTGTATCAAAGCCTCTCTATGATCGTGCCTAAAATTTTAAATGATACTACTCTTGGTTAAACTAGTATATGAATTGTTGGTTGGTTGGGGGCAGTCGTAGAGAAGCCCCGCTTTACTTGGGCCTCGCAATTGTTGGCATCCGTTAGCGAGGCGCTTCTGCAGCACCAAAGGATCGGTGTCTCATCTGAGATTAGAGCCAGCGTCCCTGAGTGTTGTACTTGGGGGTATTAGCACATTACTGCGCGAGTCACCACGCCATGACGGGTTGTGAGGATAAATTTGCACTGCTGGATGGATGAGGGCGCTGTAGCAGTAAGACGTTTCCTCTAGATGACTGGCTGTGCCACCTTATTGCTGTCTTCCTTATAGTAGGGAGGGGGTCAGAAAAGTTCGATCCCTAGAACAGCACACCAACCGATGGCATTCGGTGCCGACAACACGATTTCACAGCCAAATTCGAAAACAGCAAGCCAAAATAGCGAATAGACCATGTGTATCCTTTGGGCTCTGAGGTCATGCACCAATGCTCCCTTTTCAAGTTCCTCAAGACAAACATGCCTTTTATAACGTGGGTGGCCAGCGAGTATTAGCCAGCCCAACAACTGTCAGAACCCGTTTTCTTCTGGATCGCTATCCAGCTTCCAAGTCCTCAAATCTTATCATTCCCCTACGTCCCTTGGTCAATAATCCTGCATCATCTTTAGTTTCTTTCGGCCCCATAGCTAACGATGGCCGTTTGAGTTCGCAGAACAGCACCTTGGATCTCCTGAAACCGCGCTGCAAAATACACAGAGCCTTTTCTATCGACATTTACTAACAAGTTTCATCAACCAAAACTAGCGTCTCTGGCCATGGATATATACCGTATTTTTGAGGACGCGCGCACGACATAAGCAGGGCTATTCTGTTCACACGGACATTATGTTGACTCTCTAAAATTCACCCCTGAGGTTTCTGGATGATAGCTGTACAGCTCTCGTGGTCTTGCAGGCGTATGTAGAGCATTGAAAGCATAACTAAGATTTGCTTGTGAAGAATGAGGAAAGTAGTGCGTTAGCTAGCTCATCTAAAGTATATGCCCTCTCAGCACTCTTCAAACAGCGATGGGGTCGCACAAGACATAACGTTCCTCTCCTTAAACATGACACCGAAGATTACAATGATCCAGTAGACGTGTGAAATTGCAGCGACTTATTTTTGTATGACACTAATACTGTCTGCACCAATGAAACCTATTCTTCTTCCCTTCTGGAGTCAATAGATACGGTTAAATTCACATATTCTAATATCAACCGAGCCATCATGGGGCTAAAATGCTCCAGCAGCTCTGGCACAGATGAAGCATCATCACGTCTCTTCAAATATGGTCGCCCTGATATTCCATGGTTATTACTTAGAGCATTTTCTCTGTCTTCAGAATCTTTCACACACCCTGATGTCTGGAAAGCGTCACTTACCCCAAGTATATATAAGTCTGGTTCAAAGGCACCATAGACCAATGAATGTTACTCCTGTGGTTTGTAGAATTATGGGGAAAGTTATTAAGGAAAGCGTTCTTCAGCACATGAAAGTAGAAACACCGTTACATCGAGCTACCAAAAACTGAGGTCCTGTATAGCTCGCCATTTGGACTTCTTTAACTTCACAACCACTATGCACGACCGACACCTTGTCCAGACATTTCAAAGGCATTCGACACCATCGATCGCTTACTGTTAATAAGTAAGTTTGAGTCTGAGCGGATTGACCATCCATTATTAGGATGAAC